GTGTGGCGGCGCCCGGGTCCCCAGCTCGGGGCTCCCGCCCCCTTCCTCGCCAGCCCCGGCGCCAGCCCCTCCCTACCCGCCTTCTCTGCGTTTTCTCCGCGGCCTCCGCCGCGCCTGGGACTTCGCGTCACGTCCGGCGGCCAGGACAAGTCCTTCCGGAGTCACTCTGGCGGCCGGCCTTGCGGATTGGGTGAGGGAAAGCCGGAAGCGCGCCGGGTCTGCGCTCGCCGCCGGATGCGGACCGGCGTGGAGCCACCCGACGCCCTGGGCGCTCCGAACCTGGCTGGGCCGCGGGCGCCGCGCGGGGGCGCTCGAGAAAGAGGCCGAGGCGGGTGCTCTGAGACGGTGTTTATTGGCTCCTTAGAAATCAGAGTCAGTAACAACTGTACAGAGGGCCCCGTCTTCTTTGCGCCCACCCCTGCCCACCCACGCCCGATGGCCCCCGGAAAAAGCAGCTTTATGTGGGCACAGGGAGAGACTCCTCCGGGATTCACAGTAACCAGAAAACAAAAACGGAAATAAATTAAGTGGTATGGGGTAGGATAGGGAGTCGCGTTCCCCAAATCAGTGCATGAAGAGGGGTGCCCAGGACCTGGAACCGGGCTCCCCACAAGCTCCTTCCCACCAGAGGGAGTGTCTGGGCCCCAGGCATGGAGCTGTGCTCCACTTCCCACCGAATTCTGAGAGCCTGCCCACATGCTCCTGCGCATCTGCCGAGGCTGAGCACCTGTGCATGCCGCGAGCCACTGGAATGAGGTGGAGGCAGTCGTCGCTCAGAGTCCACGGGCCGAGGCCCAGCTGTGCTTGTAGTAGTGGCGTCTCACCCCTCATTCCACCCGTACCAGCAGGGCATAGAGGAGTGTGGCCCCCTTCTCCTTAGTGACCCACTCCAGTTCGGCTGGGCTGAAGTGAGGATCAGGAGGTTCTCTGAGGGCAGCAGAAGGGGGGCCTGGGGTGTAGGAGCCAGGGCGCACACACACCTGGAACGCCACCTGAGCCTGGTGCGTCCGCTGGGATTTGGGGTCCCGGAATCTGTCAGATGAAACAGAATTAGCAGTGGGGCCTTTGGCCACATCACCTCCCCCTGCTTGCTAGTTCGGCTCTAGCCACACTGGCCTTGTCCCTAGGATATGCTCCGCTTTGCTGGGACCTAGCACCAGCAGCTCTCTCTCAGTGAAGCAGTCTTCCTCCCAAAGCCTGCTTAGCCAAACCCTTCACTTCCTTCTTCAAGGTGCTCAGACGTCCCACCCCTATGCCTGCCATGACTGCCCGCTTAAATATGCCCACTGCAGCCGCATTCTCATCTGCTGTATCTTTCTTTTGTTTCCGTACTAGTCACCTCTAAACTTTAAAAATACTAAGTACTGGGACCAGCAGGTGGCGTGGTGGTTAAAGCGCTGGATACTCCCACATGGCCAACCACTGGTTGGAGTCCCAGACCTGGTGGCTTGCTTTCTCATCTCCCTCTCCCACCCACCCCCCACCCCTTCAAATTAAAATAAATGAATGAATAAATAAAATAAAATAATTTAAAAAATACTAAGTACTGGGACCAGCAGTTAGCGTAATGGCTATGTCACTGGACTCCCATGTAGTAAATCGCGGTTCAAGTCCCGGACCTGGTGGCTTAAACTCACACCAGGCGCATGTGTGTGCATGCCGCCTGCACAAGAGCCCAAGAGGAGAATGGAGGAGAAGGGATTGTGACGTGGCCATCCCCCCAGGGGGGGATGTCTCTCTGTCTTTCTCTGTCTGTCTGGTGAGCGCACGCGCCCTATAGCAAAAACCTCTCCAAAAAAAAAAAAAACTAAGTACTTATTGCATGTTACTGTTCTAGAGAGCAGACACAAGTTCCACAAGAACAAGGTTCCTTTTTGTGGACAACATGTGATAATGAATGAGTGACAGGCTGAGGTGGAAATTGAACGACTATCAAGACAAAGTGGAAAAGGAGGAGGGCCCACTGGGAAGACCCAGGTGGGGCTCCCTCTTGGGCTAAGCCTCTCAAACCAAGGACCCCACGTCTCCCAGCCCCTAGGTACTCACTGCACTTTGGAGGCCAGGGTCTCGGCCCCAGCATATTGAAGGGACGGGGATAGCAGCACTGGAGGGGGCTGCTCCTCCCGAGGAGGTGCACAGTTCTCGCCTGGCTCCCCAAACCCCACCTCTGGCTCTCCCTTCAAGGGCCGGCAGCTCAGGATGGAGGCAGTGCCTGTGAGGAGAGCAGGGTCAGGGCAGCCCTTCGATTCCCCTCACAGCCCCCAAGACCAGCCTGCCCTATCTCTGCCTGTTTTAAGGTACCTGCTCCCAGCTCCCCTCGGTCCAGCACCCTCCGTACAGCTGCCACATTGCTCCCGTGATATGCCATGTGCCACTTCTTGGTTAGTGTCCCAGCCTCCAGGCGGGGATTCACCCTAGGAGGTGGACAGACAGGATAAAGGTCACTGGCTCCAAGGCCATCCCTTAGACAGGAGTTTTTCTCGTTTCTTCCACGCACCCTCTTGGGACCCTCCTTTCTCAAGGGGGGAAAACAACAGGAGAATGCATGACCATTTGTACCTGAGGTTGAACCTGCACCAGCCAAAGGGCAGGGCATATTCCCTGGGGGGTTCCCCTCGGCGCCTGTGGGCCTCATCCCCTCGCAGCTTCCGGCAAGACTCACAGTAGCACAGGCTACGCTTCGGTGGAGGCACGAAATAGTCCTCTGTGGGAGAGCAGCAGGTTGGTGCTGTAGCTCCCACCCCGGGTCCCCACCACACTACTGCCCTCCAGCTGGCTGGCAGGACTCTGATCATGGCTCTGGAATGAGGTGGGTTCCAGGGGACTGGGACTCACCAGGAAGCAACAGCAGTTCTTGGAAACGGGAGCAAAGGGCATGGTACTCGCAGCTCTTGAGGGGGCTAGCAGCAGGTGGCGGACCCCAGCACACACTTTCCTTGATACCTGAGGGGGTGGAGGGCACGTGTCACAGGAGCTGGGGCGAGAAGTATGGGGGAGGGGCGAAAGTGGGGGGCAGGGTCCTTGTCCTTTGAGGCTGGCGCACCATCCACCATGTCAGCTTTCTCCATGTCCCCTTGGGTTCCTGCACTCTTCCCACTGGCAGCCCCTGGTTCAGGGCTCACGATTGTCACCTGCAGGAAGAGGGGCGGTCAGCTAGAGCCTGCTGTTTCCCCTCTGTGAACCAGAGACTTCCCAGTTTCCCCTGGCACTCCACCTTCCCGCCTCCACTCCACTCACCTGCTCACACTGCCCATAGAGGTCCACGAGCGCGTGGCAGGGCTGGGGCACGTCTGGCACAGCCACCCCCTGGTCCACCCCATTGACATGGAGATGCAGCCCCCCAGAGCTGTCGAGCCGCCTCCAGGCGGGGATTCACCCTAGGAGGTGGACAGACAGGATAAAGGTCACTGGCTCCAAGGCCATCCCTTAGACAGGAGTTTTTCTCGTTTCTTCCACGCACCCTCTTGGGACCCTCCTTTCTCAAGGGGGGAAAACAACAGAATGCATGACCATTTGTACCTGAGGTTGAACCTGCACCAGCCAAAGGGCAGGGCATATTCCCTGGGGGGTTCCCCTCGGCGCCTGTGGGCCTCATCCCCTCGCAGCTTCCGGCAAGACTCACAGTAGCACAGGCTACGCTTCGGTGGAGGCACGAAATAGTCCTCTGTGGGAGAGCAGCAGGTTGGTGCTGTAGCTCCCACCCCGGGTCCCCACCACACTACTGCCCTCCAGCTGGCTGGCAGGACTCTGATCATGGCTCTGGAATGAGGTGGGTTCCAGGGGACTGGGACTCACCAGGAAGCAACAGCAGTTCTTGGAAACGGGAGCAAAGGGCATGGTACTCGCAGCTCTTGAGGGGGCTAGCAGCAGGTGGCGGACCCCAGCACACACTTTCCTTGATACCTGAGGGGGTGGAGGGCACGTGTCACAGGAGCTGGGGCGAGAAGTATGGGGGAGGGGCGAAAGTGGGGGGCAGGGTCCTTGTCCTTTGAGGCTGGCGCACCATCCACCATGTCAGCTTTCTCCATGTCCCCTTGGGTTCCTGCACTCTTCCCACTGGCAGCCCCTGGTTCAGGGCTCACGATTGTCACCTGCAGGAAGAGGGGCGGTCAGCTAGAGCCTGCTGTTTCCCCTCTGTGAACCAGAGACTTCCCAGTTTCCCCTGGCACTCCACCTTCCCGCCTCCACTCCACTCACCTGCTCACACTGCCCATAGAGGTCCACGAGCGCGTGGCAGGGCTGGGGCACGTCTGGCACAGCCACCCCCTGGTCCACCCCATTGACATGGAGATGCAGCCCCCCAGAGCTGTCTAGCCGCAGTCCCAGGATGGTGCCTTCGGGACACGTGTCCAGATTTGGCCCAAACTTCTCACAGATCTGGGAGGAGAGACCTACTGTCTTCCAGAGATCAGACTCCCACCACCAGCTGCCACCCCACCCTTCACCCCACTTCGGGCTGCTATCCTGGCTTTGCTCCCATGGTGCCCACTGCCCGCCCCCACTTTAATGACCCAGAGCCCCCTTCAGCAGCAAATATACCCTCTTCACAGCAGGGATGTGAGGGGGTGGTAGGCCTCAGGCTGCCCGGGTAACTCTGAATGCCCTTACACTCCCTGCTGTCTCCCTCTGGACCTGTGGTCCTACTGCCGAGGTCTGGGTACAACCTCCCTTTTGGACAACCCTTCCCTGCGCCCTGCTCAGAAGACTGGCCCTCGCCCTTCACTCTACTCCCTACTCACCTTGAGGCCGTTGTGGAAGATACCACGGCCCCGCAGCAGCCAGGCTGCCCGTTTGAGGGCACAGGCAGAAGCAGGGAAGTTGAGCCTCTCAGGTGGGCAGGTGATGACCCCCAGGATGAGGGACGATGTCCACTGCCGGTTTAGAAAGTCTATCCGCACCTGGAAGATAGAAACCACTCCACAATCACGGCCTCCAGAGAAGAGGCCACCCCCCAACCACAGCAGGACCAGGCTCCTCAGCCCAGCCAAGGAGGGAACACTGGGCCTCCCAGAGTGTGGCCTGCTGCCCTTTCTGACCCTTGGAGGGACCCAAACTGCCAGCTCAGCTACTGCTCCCTTCCCTCTCCAAGCCTTGCTATTGCCTCTGGGGATTCTCATCCCCGGGGGTTTCTTTCACCTGACTCATTTTGACTTA